TTAACGTTTCACACTGACACGCGAGTGTGACATTTTGGTAATCCCCATGCATCCAGTGTTTTGTGGGCCAAACATTTTTGTATGCCAGTCAATTTTCTATTCTTTCAAAAAGCATCAAATTTATTATAAAAGATCATCAAAAACATCTCAAACATAACAAAAATTACATTAAGATTCCAAGACCACTACTACGGCCAGTGCCGTAGCTAGGATCTACCTAAGCCCCAGGCCAACCTTATATCTACAATGATTACTGTTGCTACAATGTGTCACTGTTGCTACAATGCATCACTGTTGCTACAATAAACGAAGGATTGCTTGTTGTGGCCCGGGCCATGGCCCTGGCAGCATGGGGCCTGCTTACGCCCTTGGCTGCAGCAAAAGCGAGCCGCCGACGTGCCGGTGTGGCCATCCCTTTACTGACGCCGGTTTGACCTTATTATTGACAATCAGAAAATTTTCATGCACGTGCCTATAAAGACCAACGCCCTGAAGCGCTAATCGTCATAGTTGAAACCAATATATCTAAGCACCTAACACTAAATCTCACCGAATGACAAGATTTCCCTAACCTCCCAAGGAAACTTCAGGGTGTGTTTGGTAGCTGTTCCCACCCTAGCATAGTTGTTCCCATTTGAGCCATGCTTAGTCTAGACATGCTCAGTACATGCAACTGCAGTTGTTTGGTAGCAATGTATGTACTGATGCATGCTGAGCTGAGACTGTGTTTGGTAGGCTGCATCAGACGAGACATGTTGCACAGAGACAGTGTTTGGTAGCTTGTATCTGAGGTATGCTCCATGAATGATTTTTTTGCCGCCAAGACAAATATTGAAACAACATTTCGACAATTCATGGAACAATTCGAGCAATAAAATGTTACCATGCCAACATAATTTGAACAATGATAATATAAATAAAATAATCAACAATTAACATAACACATGATAACCTTGATTTGAAGCAATGCATCACTAGATTCATATTACATAAGAATAATAACCATAATTCGTAGCAGTGCATCACTAGATTCATATTACATAGTCTAATTTGAAGTACACTTTATAATAGGCATTACAAAAGGGACTGTCTCATCAAGCACCAACTAACAACAACTCAAACAAGACCGGGATTGGCTTTCAAGATTCGCTTGAACGATGCTTTTCGGACTTCATCATCCATCTTCACAAAGTTTAGGCCTTTTGCCTTATGTTCTGTGAGATAATCTAAAACAGCCAAGCGCTTGCAATCTCACGCATAGCACTTGCAATCTCACGCATAGCATCAGTCATGTTGCTACACTGGATTGAGTCCTCCTCTGTCAAGCCAGATGCCCTCTTTCTCTTCTTATTTGAAGTAGGAGAAGGGTCCTGAGTGGCACTAGCAGTAGGAAGTACAAAGTTAGATCCAGGAAGATGTTGCAATACCTCATCCGTTGTTCCTTCCCCCTCCATGACATTCGGTTTATCCTTGTCTTCCACAACAATAGGCGTTCCCAGGGGCACACCGGGGCCCATTGCATATTTCCCAGTGGCATGCTTATTAGCAAAGCAAAGTTCCATATAGTCGTAGTTCTCCAGTGGAGAATTGAGCAATTCAGCATCTGCTGGATGATCCTGCAACACCATTTGAACAAAAATAATTAACTAAGACATCATTTCAGCTATGAAACATCATTATTTTTGGCAAAACTATATCATTTTAACACTCTTTGAGCACTAAGATAACTCATTTCAGCATTCAAAAAAGGCTGATACATGGACATGCATACCTGAGTGTGGCCCAAATAGTGTTGTTCTTCTAGCACTACCATCTTCTTGTCATCATCCCAAAGTGCCCCACTTAAAGCCTTCAAATAGACAAGCCTTGTCCACCTATTCCTCCACTTGCGAATATGATTGTGCACTTGCGTAATAGACACGTCATAACCAACGAAAGAAGATATACGCTTTGCAACTTTCAATTTTTCAACCTCTTTGAATCCTTTGTCAGTCTTGGCACCTCTTGACGCCACCTCTGAAAGGCCTTTCAACATCAACGCCGACATAGGAGGAGTCCAATTCATGACCTTGGGGGCCTTCTTGGGAAGAGCACCAACACTTGGAACCTCCTGCACCTCATCATCCATCTACAACATAGACAATCCAGAAGTTAATAACATATTTCAGCACATAAATAAGCATAATTCAGCAGCTCAAAATTATGTTTCAGCTCATAAACATGAAGTCCAGCACACAAAAACATGTTTCAGCACATAAAAATCATATTTCAGCAGCTCACAATCATGTTTCAGCTCATAAATATGAATTCCAGGACACAAAAACACATTTCAGCACATAAATAAGCATATTTTAGCCCATCAAAATCATGTTTCAGCACATAAATATAATAGTACATCAATAGTTTTACAACACCAAGACACATGATACATCAAATGTTTGCTAGCCCTCTATTCGCCCACATCTGATTTGCAAATTCATCTCTCTTATGAGCCCAAGAAATATTGTCATGGACAATATCATTGTGATCTTCATCATTGGGTTCCGGCTCCCATGTTTCCTCAGGTGGGAAATACTCATCCTCACCATATTGAAGTACCCAATTGTGAAGAATTGCACAAGCTAGCACTACTTTTACTTGGGTCTTGTAACCATGGAACGGCTTATTGTAGACAAACTTCCAACGGTTTTTGTATGCGGCAAAAGCCCTTTCAACCGTTGTCCTCAAAGAAGAGTGTCTTAAGTTGAACAACTCTTTAGCATTTTGAGGATGGTTCCCTCGTCCATACTCTTTCAAGTGGTACCTCGTGCCACGGTATGGTGGAAGAAAACCCGGCCTCACAGCATACCCCGCATCAACAAGGAAGAATTTTCCTATGAAATAGCAACTATTAGCTATGGGTAGAAATATTAATATATTTAGGTAGTAGGCCCTAGTTTATTACCTGTAGGAACTTTCAACCCATCTTCCCTCTCCAATGCATTTGCAAGTATAAGGGCATCATGAGCTGATCCCTCCCAACCTGCAAGTACATAGGTAAACTTTAGATCAAAGTCTACCGCAGCCATGACATTTTGGGTAGTCCCCACCTTTCTACCCCTAAAGGCAGCTGAGATACTTTTTGGGACTCTAGCAAGCACATGAGTCCCATCAATTGCTCCAACACAATCCTAATTAAAAAAGGCAAATGATTGTTATTCTTAAGTCGGATTGATTGTTTGCATTTGTTTGCAAAAATAATTACCTTGAAATATGGATTGAAGCGAGTGCTTTCTTGTATTTTACGATGACAATGGTTGGAGGGAGGCCGAATCATCTCATCTCTCAACTCCCCAATAGCATAAAGCACTGCCTTAAAATACCTACTAATGACTTCGGTAGATCTTCTAAAGATCGGTTGAAGTGTCCTATACCTTTGGTTATGGCCAACTACTAGAAGAAACATGGCTACTTGTTCCTCGATAGAAGTATGGATGCTATCCAACAACAGATTTCTCTCTCTAAATATAGCACACAAACGGAAAAAAGGAGCTTTTCTCATTCTTAATTGATTTGAACAATTTATATCACTAGAGTGATAAATATATCTCAAATT